GGGGGGGGATGACACTCACTTGAATATCTTGGTGATGCCTTCGGTGCTTTTGACCTCCCCATCACGGCCCAGGAAACAATCCAAGGCCTTGAGGAGCTCCTTGGGGTCAATGGGGCCGGAGCCCATGGCAGGAAAATCTGGAGAGAGGGGGGTGGGGAGGAGGGTGAAAGAAAATAGAAGTTGTTTTTAGGTTGAAAAAGCCTTAAAAGGGTTGAAAAAATGCAACGTAAGCAGTCAGAGTGGCTCTAAAAGGTGGCACAGCCACGGATCCACCAATGGAATCCGAGCCCAAATTCTATTCCTGGGGGGGGAGCATTGTTACACACAGCCCCCCCCCCCCCCCCCCCCCCCCCCCAAACCCTCCCCCCAGCTCCATGTTTAATTTTTTCTATCCAAGAAAGACCCAAAGTTGTAGGTTTTAGACCCCAAAAAAGCCTCCCAACGGTGTCTGTATGAATACGGATTTGAGATCGAAATAAATCTCATTTCTGATGCTAAAAGAACCCAAAATCTCAACTTTTCTGCCCTGAAATGGTTTCAATGTAAGCACAGATTCCACCCCCACACACAAAAAATGGCCATTTGCTCCCAAAAGACCCCAAAATCCCATTTTTTCTCCCCCCAAAAATCCCTACTCCTCAATAACAGGCGGTTATAAGCAAAGATTCGAAGCTTTCAGACCTAAAATTCTCATTGTTGGCCCTAAAATCCCCCTTTCCTGCCCCAAAATCCCTATTCTGGGCCTGAAATTCCACTTTCCTGCCCTAAAATCTCCATTTTCTGCCCCCAAAATCCCCATTCCTGGCCCCAAAATCCCCTTTTTTCACCCCAAAACAACGGGTCTGTTGACGGCGAGCGGCGGGTAATTAACGGCGGGTAATTAACGACGCAATTAACAGCACTCAGCCCCAATCTGGGGTCATTTTGCCTCAATTTGGGGTCATTTCAACCCCAATTCGGGATCATTTCAGTCCCCTTCCAGCCCCAATTTAGGGCCATTTCACCCCAAAATCAGAGCTCAGCCCCAATTTGGGCTCATTCTGCTCCAATTTGGGGCCATTTCACCCCAAAATCTGAGCTTAGCATCAATTTGGGGTCAGTTTGCCCCAATTTGGGGTCATTTCAGCCCAATTTCACTCCAATATCAGAAATCAGGTCCAATTTGGGGTCATTGTGTCCCAATTTTGGGGCCATTTCAGCCCAAAATCAGAGCTCTGTCCCAATTTAGGGTCATTTTACCTTAATTTAGGGTCATTTTATTCCAATTTGGGCTCATTTTGCCCCAATTTGGGGCCATTTCAGCCCAAAATCAGAGCTCAGCTCCAATTTGGGATCATTTTATCCCAATTTTTCATTATTCTACCCCAATTTGGGCTCATTTTGCCCCAAAATCAGAGCTCAGCTCCAATTTGGGATCATTTTATCCCAATTTTTCATTATTTTACCCCAATTTGGGGCCATTTCACCCCAAAATCAGAGCTCTGTCCCAATTTAGGATCATTTTACCCCAATTTTTGGTCATTTTACCCCAATTTTTGGCTCATTTTGCCCCAATTCGGGACCGTTTCACCCCCATTTCACCCTTTACAGCATCACAGAAAGCACCCAGGCTCTAATTAACCCACCCAATTAACGCTCATTAACAACAACCACCTCCCAACAGAGGCATTTCCTGGGGTGGGGGGGCCTTAATTAGCGTACCCTAATTAAAGGCAGAGCATTAACGACCCCACCCTGACCTCAATGCACACACACACAGCATCCAAGCCAGTCTTAATCAGCACTAATTACTCACTGCCGCCTCGTTAGCGCTAACGAAGTTGACAAATGATGGCTTGGAAAGGGGGGAGGAGGAGGGAGACCCCCCCCCCTCCAAAAAACACCAAATTTTAGGAGATTTCCGACCTCCCAAAATACAACTTTTTCTCCTCAAAACCTTAACGAGCCGCTTAACGAGCTAATTAACCCTCGTGGTTAATTAAGAAAGGATACAGATTCCTCCGCCGGCCCTTCTGCAAAGACAACACAGCCAGTTAATGAGCACAAAGCCTTATAAATGGGGGGGGGGGGGCTGAAAAGCCCCCAAAATTGAGGTTTTTCACCCCAAAAAAGGGGGTTTTTTTGACCCTATGGGTTTAAAGGGGGGGAAGTTGGGCCCCCCCTCAATTTTTGGTGCCCCCCCCTCAAAAAATGGGGCAGAAAACTCAAAATTGAGGGTTATTTTTTTGGGGGGGAGGGGTTCTATATGGAAAATGCCCTAAAATGGGAAAATTTGGGTTTTTTTCCCCTGTTTTGATGAGCGGAGTCAACACTGACCCCATTTATATGGGGGGGGGAATAGAGGACAAAGACCCCCCCAAATAAAAGCCCTATTTAAGGGGGGGGTCAGCTTGGACC